TATAATAACATAGTGTAATAAATCAAGGTAATCATTTCCCTTTTTTGAAACAATCTGATTTTGGGGGGGAAGGGGTGCACGCACATTCTAGGCAAGCATTGTACCTTTGAGCTACATCTCCAGCCCTTTTTATTTTGAGATAAGGTCTTACTTTGTTGCCTAGGTTGACCTCAAACTTAGATCCTCCTGCCTCAACCTCCTGAGTAGCTGGCCATGCCAAACTACAATAATCATTTTTCTGTGTTGGGAATCTCATACTCTTCTAAATCAGTTTGAATTACAGACTGTTTTAACCTGTTACCCAAATGTGCCAAAGAGGAACCAGCAATCAGTCCTTTATTCTGTGTTTTGGTTCTTATGAATTTTTTTTTCTTATTTGGTACCAGGAATCAAACTCGGGCCTCACGCTTGCCAGGTAGGCGCTGCCCCGCTGAGCTACATCCCTGGTGTTTTGATTTTTCTTAATGAACTTCTGATTGTTTCTTGAGATTGATTCTTGGACCATTAGTTCTGCATGTAGCAGGTACTTGAGTTTCACCTTTCTCCAGTCCAGCAAAATTATATTTGATATTTGAGGGCCAGATCAATATAAGGATTTATCTTTAGGTCACAGATGGAGGGTGAAGGATAACTTCTGTGAAGACAGGTACACACCAATGCATAAATTTTCTTGTCTGAATAATGTTTAAATGAATGCTGCTGCTTGCAAGTTATCATCTTACTGCTTAACACACCTCTTCCTAGAGCATAAATCTGAGCTCCTCATAGAGGATCTTTGTCCTTTTCACTCTCCAGGCCTTTCTAATTAATGTCTTCTCAGAACTTAACTTCTTTCCTTATTAATCATTAATTACAAGAAAAAGGTGGCTTGTGTAGCCTCTGGGGATAAATTGCCACATCCCATTTCCTTCTCTATGAGCAGGATTTCCAATTTCCACGCCTGATGGGATCTCCCAGCTGGAACAAGATCTACAGGTCTTTGATCTGGAAACTAAGAATAGAGAAGTCTTAAGAGGTGACTCCTCAGGTGAGTAAGGCAGAATCAATCACATGGAATTAGTAGGGAAGTAAAGTTGAATTGTTGAGTCAATTGTGACTGCTTTGGCAGTCAAAAAGAAGAGCTCTGTCTGTTGTGGAATAGAGAGCCCCTGCCTTTGCCTGTAGTTTAGGTTGACCCTTTGTATTTATTTAGCTCCTGTGCACAAGTTGTACTAGGCCCCTATTCAAGTTGCTTACCTAAAATCCTTTTGAACTATTTCCCTATTAGCTGTTTTGAAATGCCTTAACTGGTTATCCTCTTTACTCTGCTAAACGCACTTCTAGTTTCTGCCACTCGGCAATCCATTTGGATCCCACCAGGCTGCTCCTGTTCATGCCCTTAACATCTGCTGTTGAGATTTTGTGCTTGTTTTTCAGAGTAAATAAACTTCTCTTATGTTAGCACATACTACATTACTTAGTTTTCTTCTATCTGAGTTTTCTTTTTAAGTACAGGGTATAGATTACATTTGTATTTTCTATTTATATATTGTATCAGATGGAGAAACCAGAGAAGAGAACAAGCTGTTGATTCCTAAGCAGAAAAATTTGGAAGAAGTACATTCATACAAAGTGAGAGTAGGAAGACTCAAACAGGATATTTCCCAAGTTCCTGAGACTAGAGAAGTGCATGAGTCTGAGGACAGATTAGAAAGGCTTCAGGAAATCCTAAGGAAATTTCTCTTCCTGGAAAGAGAGTTTAGACAAATAACAATCAGCAAGAAAACTATCACCAGTGAGAACAATGAATGTAATGAGCCTGAAAAAAGCTTCAGTCTGGATTCTGCCCTTGATACAGACCACAGAGTTCTTAGAATACAGAATATTGATGACAATAAGTATGACATGAATTTCACGCAGAACTCAGCTGCTGATAAACATGAACACATAAATCTACAACAGACTTTTCAGAATAGTGAATACAAAGAAAGCCTAATGGATCTCTCCCACTTTAGTAAATGGGAGAGCATTTCTGCCACTGAGAAATCCTATAAATGTGATACATGTGGAAAAGTCTTCCATCAGAGCTCAGCCCTTACTAGACATCAGAGAATCCATACCAGGGAGAAACCCTACAAATGTAAAGAATGTGAGAAATCTTTCAGTCAGAGCTCAAGTCTTAGTCGACATAAAAGAATACACACTAGAGAAAAACCTTATAAATGTGAAGCATCTGATAAATCCTGTGAAAAGTCTGATAAATCATGTAGTCAGAGTTCAGATGTAATTCAGCATAAGAAGATTCACACCAAAGCCAAATCTTACAAGTGTAACAATTGCGAAAGAGTCTTCAGTCGTAGTGTACACCTTACTCAACACCAAAGAATTCACAGAGAGATGCCCTGTAAGTGTACTGTATGTTGCAGTGACTTCTGTCACACTTCATATCTAGTTGAACATCAGAGGGTCCACCACCAAGAGAAATCCTATGAGTGTGATGAATGTGGTTTGGCCTATGTTAAACATCAAGGAATTCGTTTCAGAGAAAAACCCTATACATGTATTGAATGTGGAAAAGACTTCAGATTGAATTCACATCTTATTCAGCATCAACGAATTCATACAGGAGAGAAACCACATGAATGTAATGAGTGTGGAAAAGCTTTCAGTCAAACCTCATGTCTTATTCAACATCACAAAATGCATAGGAAAGAGAAATCATATGAATGTAATGATCATGAGGAGAGTTTCAGTCACAGCTCAGATCTCCTGCAACAGGAAGTTCTCACCAGAGAAAAAGTCTTTGACTGTCATGCATGGGAAAAGAACTTCAGTCAGAGAGCACATCTTGTTCAGCATCAAACAATTCATACCAAAGAGAAACCTTATGAATGCAGTGAACATGGGAAGACATTTAGTCAAGTTCAGTCCTCATTCAACATCTAAGAGTTCACACCAGGGTGAAGTCATGTACGTACTGAATGTGGTAAAGCTTCAGTCATAGCTCAGACTGTATTCAAAATCAATTCATGAGAGAAAGAGGGAAACCCTCTGTGATAAATGTTGGAAAGCTGTTAGTGTTAAACTCTTAATTGGCTCCCGCAAATCCATTCCCGTGAGAAAAGCTATGAAAATACTGAATGTGGTAAATTACACACTGTCTTCATTCCTTATTCATATTTGGGGAATTTGTACTGGAATAAAATTCCAATATGTAAAAAAGCAATCAAAGGAACTACCTTGCTTCAGTATCAGATTCATGTCATGCAGAAAGCCCATGAGTTTAATAAATGCATATGTGAGGAAATTCAGTCAAAGTCCAATGCTCATTCAACATCAAAGAATTACCCAAAAGAAGCCATTTGAGTGTAGTAAATGTGGCAGATCTTTTCAGTAAGAATTCATCAAATCTTTGTTGTAATCAAAATATACCAGATGAGAATGCAGATGGAGAAATTTGTCTCAGTACTTAAAGTTGTCTTTACCCAACATTAAAGTAGCAGAAAATTGTTATTTCTTATGTATGATATTGTTAATATTTAGTCCCAGTCTTTCATTATGGAAGAATCTAGTCTCAAAAATAATTTGGAATGCAGTCCTGTATGCTCATGGCAATATTTAATATATGTCCTAAGTATGTGTATTTTATTTGTGGAACTCATTTAAGCTATTTTCATTTTAATATAGCCTATATACACATTTGTATTCATCCTGGAATTGGTTCTTATTAGTCACAGCTTCCCAAGATACTCTTAATGCACCTTAAAGCATATACCAACTTCTGAAAAGTAGCTCATTTAGCTTTTTCTGCCGTTCTTGGCCCAAGTTGTCTCAAAAACAGATTCTTAGGCCTGCTCTTTTCTGAGGACCCTACATCCCAATTTCTTTATAGCCACAACCCTTAGATTCCTACATTCCTTTATGAACTTTAAGTTGGTGGTTTCCTAGTTTTAAGCTTGTCACTAGCAGATATGCCATTCCTACTTGGGTCTGGTATCTTTCCTACAGTGAAGCATCTTTTAAAGAATTGGATTCTCACCTTCAGCCCATCTGTAAGTATGGAAGATTCAGTCTTCCTGAGTTTGTGGCACAACTTTTTAAAACTTTTTGAAGTGACATCCAAGCTTTTAGCTGCCTTGTCTGCATCAGTAGCCCTCTAAAAGAGATGTTGACATCAGGGAGCCAGTAAGACTCCTGGTGGCCTAGCTGCACTTGTTCTTTGCCTGTTCTGCATGTCTAAGTTTAGAGTTCTCTTATATGCCGCTATTGAAGTCCAGAAAAACCCTCAGGTCTGCTTTTGATAGGAAAAACATTAAGAACACATTCAAAAAGCTTCATATACATACCAGAACTCTTCATACAAAAAACACATACACAATACAAAACCCAGAAAATTTCCAAAGTAAATATAAAATATGTTGTTCTTATGTAATATATCTAGAGACTATTTTAGGAGAATGGCAGATCTGTTCCTGCTAAAATCTAACCATTAGGACTGCTGCTTTATCTGTTTGGACTCCTCTCCTACTCTCCATCAATTCAGGACAGTATTTGAAGTGTGGGTTCTTTGTGTGTAATTATTTGTGCATCATCATGTTTTTGTTTGCTTTTGAGATAGGGTCTCACTTTGTTGCCCAAGCTGGCCTTGAACTTCTGGGCTCAGGTGATCCTGCCTCAGCCTCCAGAGTAGCTTGGACTACATGTGTGGACTGTATAATTTTGTATTTTAATGGGACTTACACATGTGAAAGAATGTGGCTTTTGTGATTAATGAAAATGATCTTAAATGTTGGCTCCAGAGTTCAGGGTTATTGTCATGTACCTAAAAAAGAGTTCATCATTATTTAGATGTCAAAGCATTTTAATAGTTTTTCCATCTTAAGCTTCATAACATTTTGTGAATAGGACAAGTGTTATTTAAAATTCTAGTCCAACAATTGAGGCTTTCATAGTTCAGATGTTATAATATTCATTAGGGATCTGCAAAAAATATGTGAAAATACATTGTAAGCCTCCTGTGGCTAACCTCTAGGATAGTTCTACCAGTATATTTTACATCTTTCCATCAGCAAGAATAGGCTCTCATCAGGGCAAGGTAGGGGCCTAAATGAAATCGATATATAATTAAGTAATCTAAATGTAAAAAGCAAATGAAAAATGCATGTTTTTTTCCCTATCAAACATGTATACCCTTAACAGAGATCAATAATTACCTCTGGTGACCATGAAACAGAGGACTAAGTAATGCCTAAATAACAAAATATGTACAAATCACATGTATGCGTTTGATTTAGGAATGTGCTTTTGTACCTCTACTTGAATAAAGACATGCTTGATATTCTGAGAATCTGTTTCAAACAAAATCTGAAGGCCTCAGTCAGAAGCATTTGGGAATCTTGGAATCACCTTTCTGGCTACAACTCTTCCTGCTTGACACTTGCTTCACAATAAGAATGGATCACTTTCTTTTGTATTGCTACAAAGCTTGCTTTTCCACAGACCTCTGGAACCCAGTTGAATTTTAGGATTTAGTTATTCAATTGGGATTTCGGTATATTAAATAAGAGTAAATAGTTTGACGTTTCAGTAGAACTAGGAAGAATGGTTTGGAAAGTAAAACACATTTATTATTTTTATTTTTCGGTATCAGGAATTGAACTCAGGACCTTGCACTTGCCAGGCAGACATGGTGCCACTGAGCTCCATCCCCAGCCCCACACACATTTTTAAAATGACAAACCAAAATAATCCAAGTAAGCAGATAATTTAATCCAATTAACATGAGTTTGTGTTAGTCCTTTTAGCTTTTAAGAGGGAGGGAAGAGAAATCTGTAGAGGGACACCAAATTTTATTTTACTTATTGTTTTAACCACCCACCTACATGCACATATGCATATATACGTAAACTTAATTCTCATCACAATTCTGCAAGAAAGTTGGGTTCATATTATAGAGGGTCTGAGGTGTAGGGATGTTAACTTGTTAGGATCTCATAGCAAGTTAATGGCTCAAAGTTAGATCTCTGACCCCCAAACTCTTCATCATTATGATGTTAGTTATTAAACACATCTTAGAACTCAAAGAAGTTTTCTTCGATAACTCACATTACATCCTCAGTGATTCAGTATCAGTTTGTGACTGATCCCAAAGCCTCCCTCCCAGAGCTGTCTGGGATTCTAGGAGAGAGTATCTTGAGGATTTTATGAGGAGCTGGTCCAACTTTCTTAGAGTAACAGCATGCATTGGCTGGCATTGGTATCTTAGTATCTTGCAATTGTATTACTCAGTGAGTGAATGATGAGGTTACATTTTCAGAAGTGGGAATTGCACTTTGCTGAGGTGACTCCCTGGGGCCCCCTTTGAATTTTCCTTAGACAATGTTGACAGTGATAGATTAACAGGTCAAAGCTCCCAGATTCATGTCTTCTATGGAGTTACCCTTGCTCCATACTAGTTACACTTTTCCATTTCTCAGTGCCCCAAATTTGTTATTTTTTTCTGCTAGCCAGAACTTGCTGATGGGCATGCATTCTACTATTATAGCAGTGGAGCAAAGTGAGTAACTGAAAGAATCAAATTTGATTCCTAGGGATAGGGGATGGAAGAGGTAGACTGGGAAGGCAGGGAGCACTGGAAGAGGAGCAGTGAGAGTAAACAAAAGGAATAGAATGTCCAGTTTACAGATGAGAGTATTACGTTTTCAAGGAAAGGAAGAAGAGCTCTCTACACAAAAGGCTTACCCTAGGAAATAGATGGGCAACTGAGCAGTTGTATTCACATCCCCCTGGCTTCATACTGGGGCTTGAACTAAGGGCCTTGCGCCTACTAGGCAAGTGTGCTACAGCTAAGCTAAGTCCCTCTGCCAACTGAGCAGGTTGAACATGTTCCTGCTGGGTCAAACCACCAGTGATACATGCATGACTGCCACTGGGCGGCTTGTACCAGTAGTGGTACAAATGGATCTAATTGCTTTTATCAGTCTTTTTACTAATAAAATTAATAAGCCACCCAATGGGACAGTTATGCATATACCACTAGTAGTTCAAGCCACCTGGCAGTGAGACATACAAATTACAGCCACATCATGAATGTGTTAAGGACAAAGTTCAAAGGAGGGCCCCAGAGAGTCATCTCAGCAAAGTGGGATTCCCACCTCTGAAAATGTAACCTCATCCATTTACTCATTGAGTAATATAATTGCGAGATACTAAGATACCAATGCTAGCCAATTGGTGCTGTTAATATAGTCAAACGAATAGTTGTACAGGTTAATTTAGTCAAATCAATGACTTTGGAATTAGATATACTTTACCTAAGCTTTTCTTTACTGTTCATTAGCGTGTGACTTCATTTACCCTCTAATTTTCTTTCTCTTTTTTGGTATCAGGGATCCAATTCAGGACCTTGCTCTTGCCAGGCAGGTGCGGTGCCACTGAGCTACATCCCCAGCCCTAACCTCTAATTTTCTCATCTACATAATAATGGTGCTAGGAAAGTTAAATTAGATGATTAATATAGAGTACTGGTTACAAAGTTTAAGTGGTCAAAAAGTTACAAAAACCAATAAATTAGATGAGTGACTATTAAGTCTAAAAAAGGGAATGAGCAAAGAAAAAGGCTGGCATTGTCTAAGGAGAGATACCTAGGACTTGGAGAATTTATACATAAATGCTAGGAATTGCCTCCTGACAGCCCCAGTCAGCAAACTGATATCTCTTATTTGTATCATATGGTGTCTTACTTTTTTTGTTGCTGAGACAAAATACCCAACACCCAAAGTTAAAGGGAGAGAGGTTTCAGTCCATAATTGGCTGGCTCCAAGGCAGGGTGGCATGGCAGAGGGCATCGCAGAGGAGAAGCAGTTCATGGCAGGCAGAAGGCAGCAAAAGGAATGAGCAGCAAGCAACAGCAGCAGTCCTCTTTCTGTGCCTTATATCCTGTCCAGGCTACCCACCCTTAGGGCAGATAGCACTCACACTCAGCATCAATCCTGGATCCCAGCATCACACCCTAGATCCAGCAACCTCCAGAAAGCCCCACCTATGACTGCATAAGGCTTTGTGGGTACATCTAGATACAGGATATAACATATGGTATCCTATCTTGTACTCCCCTCAGAATAACCCAAGAATAAGAATGATTTCCAACAGTGCCATGTACAAATCAACAAGAAAACAAGTACTAGAATTCTTAGTTTGCTAACACTTTCTATTTACTGTCTTCACTTTTAGACAATAGTTATCCTTATATTTATTTCATTCATGTTTAGAAATTTACAGCTTAGGGCACGATTACAAGCTTGTGTCTTGTCTTTCCCCCATTTGTTCATGTTACAAGTTTCCACACTGTCTTCTTCAATTGACCTTCTTGGATGTAGTTAAGATTTGAGCAGGCCAGGGTTCAAATGCTGCCTTTGGTACTCACTCTTCACTGCTGGCATGTAAGACAGTAAAAAATACCAACTTCTAGTCTCATGAATATGACAAAATGTCAGCTTAATTGTACTTTAACTGGTGACTGCTTTACTAAATATAACAGGAAATCCCTTATGAACAATCCTCTTTCAGTATATCCCTTCCCCTCCCCTTCCTTTCCCTGCTTCAACATGTAAAATATCTGGTGGCACACACCTGTAATCCCAGCACTTGGGAAGGTGAGGCAGGAATATCACCATGAGTTTGAGGCCAGCCTGGGCTGCATAGTGAGTTCAAGGCCAGCCTGAACTACATAGCAAGACCTTCTCACAAACAGAAAACAAACAGGCCTCTGGCAAGCCTCTACTGCTGGCCCTGTAGGCTGTTTGAATTTTGGCTCCTTCTCTTAAGGCTTTTCTTCCTGTATCAGCAATCTGGTAGAGGCCAGTCCTCCTGCTTGTTTATATACTCCAGGGAAAGCAGGGAGGGGCTGGATGAGGGGCAGAATCCTGGCCTCTAGGAAAGAAGGTGACAGGACCCCAGGGAGGAGAGACAGGCTGAAGACTTGGTAGTGTTGGCGAGAAAGCCAACAGCAAGCGAACTAACGTCTAAGTCCACTTAGGCGATGGAGGGCAGGTACAGAAATTCTTTCCACCTTCCCTGAATCTCCCCTTGGGGAAGGAGCCCCCACTGCACCTCGCTTTGAACTGGATTCCACACTGGCTACTTCAGAACCCGTCACCGAGTCAGTTCTCTGAGCTGCCTAGATAGGACACCAAAGTGTATGCGAAGGACCCCAAGGTCCCTATAGTCCCCCGGAGGCCCAAGATCCCACGCCTTGTGGGTGAGGGTCCCCGGCAGAAGTCGCCTGAGTGGTCTGCGCGGTGGGGGCACATTCCAGCCGCGGGGTTCCAGCGGGCCAGGGTGGGCTGAGGGAGTCCGATCTGGGTCGGTCCGGGCTCTGGTGGAAGTCAGCGCAGCTGTAGTCGGCTTCGCCCATCCCGCCTGAAAAGAGAGGAGCTTGTAACACCTCCTCCTGGGCTGGGAGTTTGCCCTGGGAAAGCATTTCTCCCTGTGTTGTCTCTCACTCATCCTGAAGGGGCTGGTGTACTGTTGTGAGCTTCTTCTAGAGAAGGTCTAGGCCTTGGAGCTGCTCGGGGATTGGGCCCAGTCCCTGGAGAGGCGGCCGAGCAGCTGTCCCCTAGTCTGGTGTGTCCAGCCCAGAGCAGAGACTTCGGAAGAGCACAGCTGTCATCTACAGTTTATTTGTCCTTCCAACCACAGCTCCAGATCAGATGCTCAAGATTAAATTTAGATTTAGAATTGTCTTGGTGGGAGGCCATATTTAAAAAATTAAATTTCTGTTACATGTAAATAAAGCCCGAGGTTCATGTTTCCCCTCCTGCAGCAGGACTGCTGTGATCACCTATGAACTTGTTTGGCATTTGGAAACTCTCATTAAACCTTTTATGAATAAATAAATGAATGGACCCAGCCACAAGTGTCCGGTATTCCTACCTTCTGTACCCAAACTCTGCTTCATCCACAGGGAAGATACACTTTCTACCGAAGGTATAAACTGAAAGAGGGTGTCTTGTCTGTGGAGTACAATGAACAGGCCAGCCATCTGCTGATGGAAAATGAGGTTAAACAACTCTATCAACAGTTTCTACTTCAGTTTGCCATCCCACCATTACCTAGTGTATAGCCATTTAAAAAGAGTTGGATTATTTAATTGGGGAGCAAAGGTTTAGGTCCACATCATGGCTTATGTTTGGGTTTTTGCTTTAATACATTTAGGCTTCTAACTGTTCAGGCTAATTTTTTCATTTTCATGGAGTAATTATTAGTAGGTGCTAAGACTAAGTTGAGAGAAAACCTCATCTTCGCCTACCCACAGACTTAAAATTAGAGGAGTCAACTACAAAAGGC